GGTCTGCTTTTGTTTGCCAGACTGCGCCAGCTTGCGGTCGCGGCGGCTCTTGGCTGACTGCGACATGATCGAGTACGAGTTGTAGATCGACCGGTTGTTCAGCTGCTTCATCGAGAAGTTGCTAGTGTTGTGCTTTTCAAAGTCACGATCGGTCAGCACCATCTCGGAGGCTTGAAAGCAGACTTCTTCGGCTGCCTCAGCGATGCCAAGGCTGTTTCAGAGCCGCCGTCGTCATTGCTGCATCCCCCTCGTTGTCGCTGTTCTCTGCAGAGTCAGTGATATCGCCTGAGCGTTTGCCGTCGGAAACTGCTGCTCCACCCCAGACATCGCACTTCCCGCGCGTAATGTGCTCGCCATACTCGCGCTTGTACTTCATGACTTGCTTGCGCAGAGCACGGGCCTGCCTTGCGCTGCTGCGACGTCTTTTGCTCACGATCGCCCTGCGAAATCATGGTAGGCGGTGCATCGCGGTAGCTACTTGCCCCTGGGCTCTTCTTGGCACGCTTTCCAAAGGCAGTGCCCAGGAACGATCGGCGGTACCTCTCCGTATCATCGTCACAGTCATCGCCGTCGTCGTCATCGTCGTCGTCGTCGTCATTGTACCCATCATCGTCGTAGATACCATATGGCACATCGTCCCGACCAAAGTAGTCGCGGGGATGCATCGGCTCCATCTCATCGTCGCTGTCGCTGTCATCGTCATCAGAGTTGGACTGGGAATCAGTCGAGTCGTTTATCGTGTCAACGATGGGCACAATATCGCCGTACTCATCTACATCCGCGGTTGGAAGCGTGTGATAGTCGTCAGCAGCGTCTCAAACCGCAGGGGCTTGGTGATGTACTCGTCCATCCAGACGACAGGCAGCGGTCGCGATCTCCCAGCATAGCATGTGCTGTCAGCGCAATAATCGGCGTGCGGAAATCAACGCCCTCACTCTCCTCCCACTTGCGGATCCGCTTGGTGGCCTCAAATCCGTGGACTACTGGCATCTGGATGTCCATCAGGATGATGTCGAACGGCATCGGCACACAGGCAAACTTGGACTTGGGATCGCGCACACCGGCTGGCTTGGTCTCCTCGGGGCTTTCCTCGGTCGTTTGTGTGTACGGATTGTCCTCGTCGGCCTCCTTGTCCTCTGTGTTCGGAATATCGATAGAGTCGAGCACGAGTGGCAGGTCATCAGGAGCCTTGACAGCTGGCGGGTACATGCTGTCAGCATACTGTGCCTTCAACGGCCTTGGGCTTGTCGGACTCGCTGCCTTCCTGCGGCTGCCCACCTGCTTCAGCCTCTGGGACTGGACAGAGGCACCCTCGTTGGCGTCACCGCCATCTCCAGACTCGTCAACTTCAGTGATGCGACTGAGCCCTGGCTCGGCATCGCCGATAAAATCGATGCGCTCATCCGTTGGCGTCGGCTCGTCAGGATCCATGGCAAACGGCGACTTGGACTTGGCACGACTATGCGATGGCCCGCTCCTGTCGTTCTCCGACCCGGGGTTGGATGCCGTCCTTCCTGATATTCTTGCCGTATATGTCCCATATTGCGCTTCCCACGTATCCATGACAGGCCTCTACTGCCAATTGCCCATTGGACACGACCTCGACTTTGTGGTTGCACTTTTGCAGGATGCGTAGCGCAAGCTTCTGGTTGACCACATTGTCCTCAGCCAGAAGAATGCGCAGGGGGCGCTTGCGGTACTTGGACAGATCAGGAATAAGCGAGTGTGTCTCGAGGGCTGGCAGCATCGCGCTGGCAAGCTTGCTGTAGTCGAACGGAATGTCAATGTACGAGTTGATGCCGAGCTCAATGATGCGGTTGACGTTGATGCAGCTGTTGCGCGGGTCGGCAAAGTAGACAATGGGCATGAAGTTCAGGTTGGTCAGCCCAGTGGACCGTAACTCATCGGCGGTCTGCATTGTATCGACAATGAATGTGTCAAACATGGGACGGTGCTGTGCTCCGCGCCAAATCAGGCGCTCGGCCTGCTCTGCTGTGTCGACAGTCGCTGTGCTCAGATGGAACGAATGGAGCATCTCGCGCAGCTTAACTACCATTTCCTTGGCCTCCGGGTTTGTTGCGGCAGTCGTAGATAACCAGCACATGGCGGTTACGGTAGGGCAGAATGCGACGCTCCGAAGAACTCAAAGTTAGGCACAGGTGCCTCAAGCTTGCAGGTGAAGATAAAGTTAGATCCGAGCCCATATTCGCTCTCGACGCGGATGTCACCTCCAAGGAGACGGCAGAGGCTACGCGAGATGCTGAGACCCAGACCCGTTCCGCCGTATCTACGAGTGGTTGAACCGTCAGCCTGCGTGAATGTCTCAAACACGACATCAATCTTGTCCTTGGGGATGCCAATGCCCGTGTCCTTGACTGAGATCTCAAGCGTGAGCTCGTTGCCCTGGCGCTGCAGGCAACGGCAATTAATCGAGATTTCGCCCTCATTGGTAAATTTGACCGCGTTGCCAACCAGATTAGTCAACACCTGGCGCAGTCGATGCGGGTCGCCGACAACGTTGTCAGGGATATCAGGATCGCACATAAAGAAGACGTTGAGACCCTTCTGCACCGACTTGATCGACAGAGGTCTTCAACACACTCAGCATGGCGTTGCGCAGCGCAAATGGAATCTGCTCCATGCTCATGCGACCAGCCTCAATCTTGGACAAGTCAAGCAGGTCATTGAGGATTGACAACAGCGAGTTCGACAGGCTCGACACAATCATCAGCGAATCACGCTGGGTATGCGTCAGGTTGGTCTCCAAGGTCATCGAAGTCATTCCGATGATACCGTTCATAGGCGTGCGCACCTCGTGCGACATGTTAGCCAGGAACTCGCTCTTGGCACGGTTGGCTACCTCGGCTGCCTGGCGGGCCTGCATGTTACGCACGATACTCACACGCAGCGATGTCACCATGCGGTTTGATCTGTGACTTGAGCGCGTCCATCTCGCCAGATGCGTCAACGGTGATCATCGAGTTAAAGTCACCGCCAGTGGCGGCCGCTGTGATCTGCGCAAACGCACGTACCTGGTTGGTGAGGTTGAGAGCCATGGTGTTGACCTTGGACGTGACCTCCAGCCATGCACCCTCGACGTCGTGGACAAGGGCCTGCACGCCGAGCTTGCCCTCAGTGCCGACCTCACGGGCAACCTTATTGACCTCAGCGGCGAAGACAGCCAGACGCTTGACCATGCTGTTAATTGTGTCTTTCAGCTCGCCCATTTCGCCGCTTAGAGGAACAGTGACAAACTTGGTCAGATCACCGGCCGAAATCGCCTTAGTCACCATCGCAATGTCGCGCACCTGGTTTGTCAGGTTATCAGCCATCCGGTTAACGTTGTTGGTGAGCGACTTCCAGGTACCATCGACGTTGGGAACATTTGCCTGGCCACCGAGCTGACCATCGGTGCCGACCTCCTTGGCGACACGGGACACTTCCTTGGCGAAGATGCTGAGCTGGTCTACCATGGTGTTGATGGTCGTCTTCAGCTCTGCCATCTCGCCCAAAAGCATCGACATTGATCTTCTGCGTCCAGATCGCCGAGCGCAACAGCCTTTGTGACCTCGCTGATAGAGCGCACCTGGTTGGTCAGGTTGTCTGCCATCTTGTTGACGTTTTCGGTCAGATCCTTCCAGGTGCCGTCGACGTTGGGAACATTTGCCTGGCCACCGAGCTGACCATCGGTGCCGACCTCCTTGGCGACACGGGACACTTCCTTGGCGAAGATGCTGAGCTGGTCTACCATGGTGTTGATGGTCGTCTTCAGCTCTGCCATCTCGCCATTCAGCGGAATCTCAACTTTGCGCGTCAGATCGCCTGCTGAAATCGCCTTGGTCACGTTAGCGATATCTCGGACTTGGCTTGTCAGGTTGTCGGCCATCTTGTTGACATTGTCAGTGAGCGACTTCCAGGTGCCGTCAACGCCCTCGACGTTTGCCTGGCCACCAAGCTGACCATCAGTACCGACCTCCTTTGCCACACGCGACACTTCAGCGGCAAAACGTGCTCAGCTGGTCCACCATCGTGTTGATGGTCGTCTTCAGCTCTGCCATCTCACCGTTAAGATCCGACGACACCTTCTGGCGCAAATCACCAGCAGCAACCGCCTTGGTGACATTTGCAATGTCGCGCACCTGGTTCGTCAGATTGTCCGCCATCTTGTTGACATTATCTGTCAGATCCTTCCAGGTACCGTCGACATTCGGGACATTGGCCTGTCCACCGAGCTGCCCATCAGTTCCGACCTCCTTGGCCACACGCGACACTTCGGCGGCGAACGTGCTCAGCTGGTCCCATGGTGTTGATGGTCGACTTGAGCTCCCATCTCGCATTGAGTGGCACCTCGACTTTAAGGTTCAAGTTGCCTGCTGAAATGGCCTTGGTTACTGTGGCGATATCACGCACCTGGTTGGTCAGATTGGTGGCCATCTTGTTGACATTGTCAGTCAGATCCTTCCAAGTGCCATCGACGCCGTCGACATTGGCCTGTCCGCCCAGCTGACCATCGGTGCCAACCTCCTTGGCCACACGCGACACCTCAGCAGCGAAAGTGCTCAGCTGGTCCACCATGGTGTTGATGGTCTGCTTGAGCTCGGCCATTTCTCCATTCAACGGAATTTCGACCTTACGTGTCAGATCGCCTGCTGAAATGGCCTTGGTGACATTGGCGATATCAGGACTTGGTTGGTCAGGTTTCAGCCATGGTGTTCACGTTGTCGGTTAGCCCCTTCCAAGTGCCATCGACATTCGGGACATTGGCTTGCCCGCCGAGCTTGCCATCGGTACCAACCTCCTTGGCCACACGCGACACCTCATCAGCAAACGTACTGAGCTGGTCCACCATGGTATTAATGGTCTGCTTGAGCTCACCCATCTCGCCGTTCAGCGGTACCTCGACCTTGCGCGTCAGGTCGCCTGCTGAAATAGCCTTGGTGACATTGGCAATATCGCGACCTGGTTGGTCAAGTTGTCTGCCATCTTGTTGACATTGTCAGTGAGCGACTTCCAGGTACCATCGACGTTGGGAACATTTGCCTGGCCACCAAGCTGCCCATCAGTACCAACCTCCTTAGCGACACGCGACACCTCAGCAGCGAACGTGCTCAGCTGGTCCACCATCGTGTTGATGGTCGTCTTCAGCTCTGCCATCTCACACCAAAGCATCGACATTGATCTTCTGCGTCAAATCGCGAGCGCAACAGCCTTTGTGACCTCGCTAATAGAGCGAACCTGGTTGGTCAGGTTGTCTGCCATCTTGTTGACGTTGTCAGTGAGCGACTTCCAGGTGCCATCAACACCCTCGACGTTGGCTTGTCCGCCCAGCTGTCCATCAGTACCGACCTCCTTGGCAACACGCGACACTTCAGCCAGCGAAAGTGCTCAGCTGGTCCACCATGGTGTTGATGGTGTCCTTTCAACTCCGCCATCTCGCCGTTTCAGCGGCACCTCGACCTTGAGATTAAGGTTGCCAGCTGAGATTGCCTTGGTGACATTGGCGATGTCTCGGACCTGATTCGTCAGATTGGTGGCCATCTTGTTGACATTGTCTGTCAGATCCTTCCAGGTACCGTCGACATTTGGGACGTTGGCTTGTCCACCTAGCTGACCATCAGTTCCGACCTCCTTGGCCACACGCGACACTTCGGCGGCGAACGTGTTGAGCTGGTCCACCATGGTGTTGATCGTGCCCTTCAGGTCGCCCATCTCGGCCGTTCAGCGGCACCTCGACCTTGAGATTAAGGTTGCCGGCTGAGATTGCCTTGGTGACATTGGCGATGTCTCTGACCTGATTCGTCAGGTTGTCCGCCATCTTGTTGACGTTGTCCGTCAAGTCCTTCCAAGTGCCATCGACATTCGGGACGTTGGCCTGGCCGCCGAGCTTGCCATCGGTACCGACCTCCTTGGCCACACGCGACACCTCGTCAGCAAACGTACTGAGCTGGTCCACCATGGTATTAATGGTCGTCTTCAACTCTGCCATCTCACCGTTAAGATCCGACGACACCTTTCTGGCGCAAATCGCCTGCTGAAATAGCCTTGGTGACATTGGCAATGTCTCGGACCTGGTTCGTCAAGTTGTCCGCCATCTTGTTGACGTTGTCCGTCAATCCCTTCCAAGTGCCATCGACGTTCGGGACATTGGCCTGCCGCCGAGCTTGCCATCGGTACCGACCTCCTTTGGCAACACGCGAGACCTCGTCAGCAAACGTACTGAGCTGGTCCACCATGGTATTAATGGTCTGCTTGAGCTCGCCCATCTCACCATTCAGCGGAACTTGAACCTTGCGTGTCAAGTCACCCGCAGAAATCGCCTTGGTGACATTTGCAATGTCGCGCACTTGGTTGGTCAAATTGGTGGCCATCTTGTTGACATTGTCTGTCAGATCCTTCCAGGTACCGTCGACATTTGGGACGTTGGCTTGTCCACCTAGCTGACCATCAGTTCCGACCTCCTTGGCCACACGCGACACTTCGGCGGCGAACGTGTTGAGCTGGTCCACCATGGTGTTGATCGTGCCCTTCAGGTCGCCCATCTCGCCGTTCAGCGGCACCTCGACCTTGAGATTAAGGTTGCCGGCTGAGATTGCCTTGGTGACATTGGCGATATCACGGACTTGGTTGGTCAGATTGGTGGCCATGTTGTTGACGTTGTCCGTCAAGTCCTTCCAAGTGCCATCGACATTCGGGACGTTGGCCTGTCCGCCAAGTTGACCATCGGTTCCGACCTCCTTGGCAACTCGGGATACTTCGGCTGCAAATGTGTTGAGTTGGTCCACCATTGGTGTTGATCGTGTTTTTGAGTTCGCCCATCTCGCCATTGAGCGGCACCTCGACCTTACGCGTCAAGTCGCCTGCTGAAATAGCCCTTGGTGACATTGGCAATGTCGCGGACCTGGTTGGTCAACTTGTCTGCCATCTTGTTGACATTAAATGTCAGATCCTTCCAGGTACCATCAACATTGGGAACGATTGCCTGGCCACCAAGCTGCCCATCAGTACCAACCTCCTTGGCAACACGCGACACCTCATCAGCAAATACATTCAGCTGGTCCACCATCTCGTTGATAGTTGTCTTCAGGTCGCCCATCTCTCCAAGCGCATCGACATTGATCTTCTGCGTCAGATCGCCGAGCGCAACGGCCTTTTGTGACCTCGCTGATAGAGCGCACCTGGTTGGTCAGGTTGTCTGCCATCTTGTTGACGTTGTCTGTGAGCGACTTCCAGGTCCCATCAACGCCCTCGACGTTGGCCTGTCCGCCGAGTTTGCCATCGGTACCGACCTCCTTGGCCACACGCGACACTTCGGCGGCGAACGTGTTGAGCTGGTCCACCATGGTGTTGATCGTGCCCTTCAGGTCGCCCATCTCGCCGTTCAGCGGCACCTCGACCTTGAGATTAAGGTTGCCAGCTGAGATTGCCTTGGTGACATTGGCGATGTCTCGGACCTGATTCGTCAGGTTGTCCGCCATCTTGTTGACATTATCTGTCAGCCCCTTCCAGGTGCCGTCGACATTTGGGACATTGGCCTGCCCGCCGAGCTTGCCATCGGTACCGACCTCCTTGGCCACACGCGACACCTCGTCAGCAAACGTACTGAGCTGGTCCACCATGGTGTTGATGGTGTCTTTCAACTCCGCCATCTCGCCGTTCAGTGGAATCTCAACCTTGCGCGTCAGATCACCAGCAGAGATAGCTTTGGTGACATTGGCAATGTCGCGCACCTGGTTTGTCAAATTGTTAGCCATGGTGTTGACATTGTCTGTCAGTCCCTTCCATGTACCGCCCACGTTTGGTACGTTCGCTTGACCGCCAAGCTTGCCGTCTGTGCCGACCTCCTTGGCCACACGCGACACCTCATCTGCAAACGTGTTCAATCGGTCCACCATGTCGTTGATTGTGGTCTTCAGGTCGCCCATCTCTCCGAGCGCATCGACCTTGATCTTCTGTGTCAGATCGCCAAGCGCAACAGCCTTAGTGACGTTGCTGATTGTCCGCACCTGGTTAGTCAGGTTGTCAGCCATGGTGTTGACATTATCGGTGAGCTCCTTCCAGGTACCGTCGACATTCGGGACGTTGGCTTGTCCGCCCAGCTGGCCATCGGTACCGACTTCCTTGGCCACACGCGACACCTCCCCAGCAAAGATACGCAGCTGGGACACCATCCCGTTCATTGTCGTCTTCAACGTGCCCATCTCGCCACGCGCATCCACGGCAATGACCTTGGTTAGATCGCCGCGCGCAACAGCGGTGGTCACATTTCCGATAGACCGAACCTGGAACGTGAGGTTATTGGCCATGGTATTGACGTTGTCCGTGACCTTCTTCCACACGCCGTCGACGTTAGGAACAAATGCCTGGCCGCCAAGCTTGCCGTTGATGCCGACCTCTAGTGCGACTCGTGAGACCTCATCGGCGAAGATATTGAGCTGGTCAACCATCTCGTTTATAGTGGTCTTAAGGTCCAGCATTTCACCCTCGACGTCGACTTCAATTTTCTGCGTCAAATCGCCGTGTGCGACAGCCTTGGTGACTTCGCTGATGGATCGGACCTGGGTCGTCAGGTTGCTGGCCATGGTGTTCACGTTGTTGGTCAGATCCTTCCAAGTGCCATCAACGCCATCGACATTGGCTTGGCCGCCAAGTTTGCCTTCAGTACCCACTTCCTTAGCGACTCGTGTAACCTCATCCGCAAACGTGTTGAGCTGGTCCACCATGGTGTTGATCGTGCCCTTCAGGTCGCCCATCTCGCCATTGAGTGGCACCTCGACCTTCATGTTCAGGTTACCCGCTGAAATCGCCTTGGTGACATTGGCAATGTCGCGCACCTGGTTAGTCAAGTTGTCGGCCATCTTGTTGACATTGTCAGTGAGCGACTTCCAGGTCCCATCAACACCTTCGACATTGGCCTGTCCGCCGAGCTGACCATCGGTTCCGACCTCCTTGGCCACACGCGACACCTCAGCAGCGAACGTGCTCAGCTGGTCCACCATGGTGTTGATGGTCGACTTGAGCTCACCCATCTCACCATTCAGCGGCACCTGGACCTTGCGCGTCAGGTCACCAGCAGAGATAGCCTTAGTGACCGTTGCGATGTCTCTGACTTGATTAGTCAGGTTGTATGCCATCTTGTTGACGTTATCGGTCAAGTCCTTCCAGTTGCCGCTAATGTTCTTCAAGTGAGCCTGACCACCAAGTTGGCCGTCGGTGCCGACCTGGAGTGCAACACTCGACAGCTCCGATACAATCCCGCGGAGCTTGTCGACCATCTCGTTGATAGTATTTGTGAGCTCGCCCATTTCGCCGTTGACAACAATGTCGATCTTTTTGCTCAAGTCACCCTCGGCAATCGCGGTGGTAACCTTGCTAATCGAGCGTACTTGGTTGGTCAGGTTGTCGGCCATGGTGTTCACGTTGTCAGTAAGGTCCTTCCAAGTGCCATCGACATTCGGGACGTTGGCTTGGCCGCCTAGCTGTCCATCGGTACCAACCTCCTTGGCAACACGCGACACCTCGAAGGCGAATGTGTTGAGCTGGTCCACCATCGTGTTGATGGTCTGCTTGAGCTCACCCATCTCGCCATTCAGCGGCACCTCGACCTTGCGCGTCAGGGTCGCCTGCTGAAATCGCCTTGGTGACATTGGCAATGTCGCGCACCTGGTTAGTCAAGTTGTCGGCCATCTTGTTGACATTGTCAGTGAGCGACTTCCAGGTCCCATCAACACCTTCGACATTGGCCTGTCCGCCGAGCTGACCATCGGTTCCGACCTCCTTGGCCACACGCGACACCTCAGCAGCGAACGTGCTCAGCTGGTCCACCATGGTGTTGATGGTCGACTTGAGCTCACCCATCTCGCCATTTAGCGGCACCTCGACCTTGAGGTTCAAGTTGCCTGCTGAAATGGCCGTAGTGACCATTGCAATGTCTCGGACCTGGTTGGTCAGGTTGTCGGCCATGGTGTTCACGTTGTCAGTAAGGTCCTTCCAGGTACCATCGACATTCGGGACGTTGGCTTGTCCACCTAGCTGACCATCGGTTCCGACCTCCTTGGCAACACGCGACACCTCGAAGGCGAATGTGTTGAGCTGGTCCACCATCGTGTTGATGGTCTGCTTGAGCTCACCCATCTCGCCATTCAGCGGCACCTCGACCTTGCGCGTCAGGTCGCCTGCTGAAATCGCCTTGGTGACATTGGCAATGTCGCGCACCCTGGTTAGTCAAGTTGTCGGCCATCTTGTTGACATTGTCAGTGAGCGACTTCCAGGTCCCATCAACGCCCTCGACGTTTGCCTGGCCACCAAGCTGCCCATCAGTTCCGACCTCCTTGGCCACACGCGACACCTCAGCAGCGAACGTGCTCAGCTGGTCCACCATGGTGTTGATGGTCGACTTGAGCTCACCCATCTCACCGTTCAGCGGCACCTGGACCTTGCGCGTCAGGTCACCAGCAGAGATAGCTTTGGTGACATTAGCGATGTCTCGGACCTGGTTGGTCAAGTTGTCACCCATCCGGTTGACGTTGTTAGTCAGCGACTTCCAAGTTCCATCAACACCCTCAACATTGGCTTGACCGCCAAGCTTGCCGTCTGTGCCGACCTCCTTGGCCACACGCGACACCTCATCTGCAAACGTGTTCAATCGGTCCACCATGTCGTTGATTGTGGTCTTCAGGTCGCCCATCTCTCCGAGCGCATCGACCTTGATCTTCTGTGTCAGATCGCCAAGCGCAACAGCCTTAGTGACGTTGCTGATTGTCCGCACCTGGTTAGTCAGGTTATCGGCCATGGTGTTCACGTTGTCAGTAAGGTCCTTCCAGGTCCCATCGACATTTGGGACGTTGGCTTGTCCACCTAGCTGACCATCAGTTCCGACCTCCTTGGCCACACGCGACACTTCGGCGGCGAACGTGTTGAGCTGGTCCACCATGGTGTTGATGGTGCCCTTCAGGTCGCCCATCTCGCCGTTCAGCGGTACCTCGACCTTGAGATTAAGGTTGCCGGCTGAGATTGCCTTGGTGACATTGGCGATGTCTCGGACCTGGTTCGTCAGATTGGTGGCCATGTTGTTGACGTTGTCAGTCAAAACCTTCCACGTACCATCAACACCTTCGACGTTAGCTTGACCGCCAAGCTTGCCATCGGTTCCGACCTCCTTGGCCACACGGGATACTTCGTCTGCGAATGTGTTGAGCTGATCGACCATGGTGTTGATAGTGATCTTGAGCTCACCCATCTCACCGTTCAGCGGCACCTCAACCTTGCGCGTCAAATCGCCGGCCGAGATCGCTTTTGTCACCGTCGCAATGTCGCGTACCTGGTTCGTCAGATTAGTCGCCATGTTGTTGACATTGTCGGTCAAGTCCTTCCATGTACCCTCGACATCAGGCACTGTCGCCTGTGCGCCCAGCTTGCCGTCAGTCCCGACCTCTTTGGCAACACGCGACACCTCGCTGGAGAACGTTTTCAGCCGAGCAACCATGTCGTTGATAGTGGTCTTCAGGTCGCCCATCTCACCCTTTAGCGGGACAGTGACCTCCTTGGACAGATCGCCCTCAGCGACGGCCTTGGTGACCTCGGCGATGTTGCGCACCTGATTGGTAATATTGTCGGCCATGTTGTTGACATTGTCTGTGAGCGTTTTCCAGACACCATCAACCCCGCTCATGTCGGCGTGTGCTCCCAATTGGCCCTCGGTGCCGGACCTCGTGCGCGACCTTGGCAAGCTCCGCGGCAAACTGGCTGACCTGGTTGACCATGGCGTTGATAGTGGTCTTGAGCTCCCCCATCTCACCATTCAAAGTCACTGTGATGCGCTTGGACATTTCGCCCTGCTGCGACTGCCTTGGTGACCTCAGCGATGTTGCGCACCTGAATCGTCAGGTTGTCAGCCATCTTGTTCACATTGTCGGTCAGGTCCTTCCAAGTGCCGTCGACATTGGGCACATATGCCTGGCCGCCGAGTTTGCCATCCGTGCCGACCTCCTTGGCAACACGAGATACCTCTGACGCGAACGTCTTCAGCTGCCCAACCATGGTGTTGATAGTGTCCTTCAATTCACCCATCTCGCCGTTCAGCGGAATTTCAACCTTGCGCGTCAAATCTCCGGCTGAGATTGCCTTCGTAACTGTGGCAATGTCTCGAACCTGGTTGGTCAAGTTGGTGGCCATGTTGTTGACGTTGTCCGTCAGAACCTTCCAGGTGCCGTCAACACCCTCGACGTTTGCTTGGCCGCCGAGCTGTCCATCAGTTTCCGACCTCCTTGGCGACACGCGAGACCTCTTTGGCAAAGGTATTGAGCTGATCCACCATGGTGTTGATAGTGATCTTGAGCTCATCCATCTCGCCGTTCAGCGGCACCTGCACCTTGCGCGTCAGATCGCCAGCTGAAATGGCCTTGGTCACCGTCGCAATGTCCCGAACCTGGTTAGTCCAAGTTGTCGGCCATCTTGTTGACGTTTTCCGTCAAGTACTTCCATGTGCCCTCCACATCAGGCACTGATGCCTGGGCGCCCAGCTTGCCGTCAGTTCCAACCTCCTTGGCGACACGCGAGACCTCGCTGGAGAACGTCTTTAGTCGGGCAACCATGTCGTTGATAGTAGTTTTCAAAAACTCCATCTCACCCTTGCACGGGATGTCGACCTGCTTGCCCAGATCGCCCTTGGCAACGGCCCGGGTGACCTCAGCAATGTTGCGCACTTGCCTTGTGATATTATACGCCATCTTGTTGACATTGTGCGTCAGGTCCATCCACACGCCTTGCACGCCGACGACACGCGCCTGTGCACCCAAACGGCCCTCCAGACCGACCTCGATGGCGACCGTGGTGACCTCGTCGGCAAAGTGGCTGAGCTGGTCCACCATCTGGTTGATTGTGTCCTTGAGCTCACCCATCTCGCCATTCAGTGGAACCATGACCTTGCGCGATAGCTCGCCGGCGGCAACAGCCTTGGTAACGTCAGCAATGTCTCGGACCTGGTTGGTCAGATTGTCCGCCATCTTGTTGACATTGTCAGTCAGGTCCTTCCAAGTGCCGCCAACACCCTCAACATTGGCTTGCCCGCCAAGCTTACCGTCGGTACCGACCTCCTTGGCCACGCGCGAGACCTCAAACGCAAAAGTGTTGAGCTGGTCCACCATGGTGTTGATAGTGATCTTGAGCTCATCCATCTCGCCGTTCAGCGGCACCTGCACCTTGCGCGTCAGATCGCCAGCTGAAATGGCCTTGGTCACATTCGCAATATCGCGAACTTGGTTGGTCAGGTTGTCCGCCATTGTGTTCACGTTGTCAGTCAGAACCTTCCAGGTGCCATCGACATCAGGGACATTTGCCTGGCCACCGAGCTGCCCATCAGTACCGACCTCCTTGGCCACACGCGAGACCTCAAATGCAAAAGTGTTGAGCCTGTCCACCATTTCGTTAATAGTCGTCTTCAACTCTGCCATTTCACCGTTAAGCGGCACCTCGACCTTGCGTGTCAGGTCACCGCGGGCCACAGCCTGGGTGACTCTCGTAATATCGCGTACCTGCTGTGTCAGGTTATCCGCCATACGGTTAACGTTGTCCGTTAGATCCTTCCAGGTGCCGTCGAGCTCAAACCAGTTTGCCTGTCCTCCAGCATGCCGTCAATGCCAACCTGGACAGCCACGCGGGTCAGCTCCACCGCCATATGGTCGAGTCTGGTAACCATCGTGTTGATTGTATCCTTGAGCTCAAGCATTTCGCCGCGTGCCTCGACCTGCACCGTGCGCGTCAGGTCACCGGCCGCCACGGCCTTGCAGACATTCGAGATATCGCGCACCTGGTTGGTCAGATTGCTGGCCATGCTGTTGACATTATCCGTAAGCAGCTTCCAGACACCGTTGACGTCGGGGACCTCGGCAGTGACGCCCAGCGTGCCTTCGGTGCCGACGGCATGCGAGACGCGGGTGACCTCAAACGAGAAGGCACTGAGCTGGTCCACCATGCTGTTGATCGTGTCCTTGAGTTCAGCCATTTCACCGTTGACGTCAATCGAGACCTTCTCGGACAAGTCACCGTTGGCCACAGAGTTGCAGACGTGCGCAATGTTGCGCACCTGCTCCGTGTGGATCCGTGTCATCGTGTTGACCTCGTTCATAAGCTCAAGCCAAAGTCCCGTTCAGTCCATCAATGTTGCCCTGGGTGCCGAGAATGCCACGAATGCCGTCGTTGCGTGCCACGCCGACGATTTCATGGGTGACAAAGGACAGCAGCGAGGCCATGCGGTTGACACGGTTCGCCAGCTTCTGGGTATGCGTAACTGGGTGGCTAATCATCGGAGTTCCTGTCAGCTGGCTGGAGGGGGCCGATACGTGACCAGCAGCGCCTGTGGGCTTGGTCAGTGGCCACTCCTTCTCGCCAGCACCGTCAATGCTGTGGCAGCGCGTGCACCTAACCCGGGCATTGAAGTCGCCGTGCAGCACAGCATCGGCAACGCGCTCGCACGCCTGGATGCACTCGAGACACACAAGCTCGCCGGTGCCTGCCACTGTCGCATACCCATTCAGCGAGGCGCTGACCATCGGGCTGTTGGGCAGACTACCAGAGGTACGTGCTGGCAGCCGGTGGCAGCCGGCAGGAACGTTGCCCACCAGCTGTTGTAGTTGCTCTCGGTGGTCGGCCCGCCAATGGACTCGTCTGGCTGCAGCTCGGCGCCAGTGGACACGGGGAACGTCCCGTTTGATGCATACTGATCGATAACGGGGTCAGGTGCAGCCCCCAGCGATTTGGAGTTTGGCCTGGGCTGACTTGAACGCTAGCGACTGCTGTTGAAGGTGCAGTGCCATCTGCGACAAGTGATTTTCGTACGTGGCCTTGGTTTGCTGCCACGCCTCCTCGCGCTGCACCATTCGGCGCAGGCTCTGCATCACACTGGTATCGGAAAATGCCTCGGTTGCTGAACTCACACTTTGGCGGTTCGAGGATGTCTTGGGCAGACGGATGCTGAACCATGCCGGGGAGCTGCTAGCGTCCCGGAAGCTGGCAAATTCGCCCGAGCTGCTAATATCGCCGGTGTCGTATCCAGACTGCTGGCGGGCAGCCTGCTCGATGGCCACACCCCGGCTATGGCTCACGGCAATATCCTCGTCGTTCGAGGTGGTCAGATAGCTGTCGACCACCTCGAGAGACGCGGCAAAGTCGCCGTCATCAAGCCTAGCGAGAGTCTCGCCTATATCGTTATTCATAGACATGATTAGCATACATCGACCCCAAAGGCTCTTCTCTACCGTGCCAGGACCTGAACCCCCCAGAGACCAGGAATACTCACCAATAGCCTGAATTGCAGCGCTCATTGTTCCTCTTTTTCTTCTTCTCTGGCCGGGTTTCTGTTGCTTCTGCTGCTGTTGTTCAGTAAGTAGACTGCCAACGGGCTGTACAATATAATAAGGATATGGTGGTTCAAATTTGGGAATGCTGGAAAAACTGCCCTGAGGGGGTGAGAGTGGAGAGCTTTGCATATTTCACCGAGTACAACCATGGATGCCGCAGGTCAAAGTTTAAAAATGACGACACTGGCATTGTCCCCGAGTCGTGACTCGTGTCACGGCCAGCTCGCCACGGCTTGAGAAAGAGAAAAGCGCTACGTTCTGTCATGCTCGAGATAGTCGGATTTTCTGCCGTCGACATCCCATCCAGCCTTCCTCAGCACGCCCATGATAAAGTCCGTCTTGTCGGCATTGTATGCCAGATGGAATTCTCTGTTATCGCCGTACTTGGCTGCCACCTGCTTCTTGAGCCTGGCGTTATTCGTCCAGCACATCCGGATGGTCCCTCAGATACTGGAGGAACAGCTTCTTTCTCGTGTATTCACCATTGCCCTTCTGCACCATGTGCACGTGGTACAGAGGACGTTTAAAGTACTCGCGGCCCACGATACCGTACAGACCTTTGTATCTATACCCAAGCTGCTGCATAGCTGGAATGCACTGGGCGAGCTGGGAGAAGTCAGCGACGACAACTTGGATATCAATGATGGGCTTGGCAGCAAGGCCCGGGATGCTGTGGAGCCAACGTGTTCGACGTCGAGGATGTAGGAGCCGATTGCATCGCGAATGCGGTGGGCTTCGTCAGCAAACTGCTCCGCCCACTTTGGGTCGTATTCAACAACCACCAACGGGTCGCCCTCGTAGTCTTTTGTCATGATGCTAAACAAAAAATGGAAAGCAGAGGCAAGATTGATTCCAGGACCGCAGCAGCACACTTTCATGCTTTGATTGGCCTGCCGTGGGAATCGATTGTTATATTCTCGTCGGCAATGTATTCAAGAGCAGTAGATGATTTTTATACGGCATGGGAATGACCTCATGCAGGCTCTAGATTCTAGTATCCAACATGCCTACTTTTGGATATACTATAAACACATGGTTACAGATAAGAGCCTATCGTATTGCCTGGGCTATGCTATATTTAAAAAGAGCTCGCTATCATAACATACCTAGCACGACACACACCGTTGGCTTATCGATTTGATATCCAGCATTAGCCTACATTTAGTGGAAGCGGGATATATACTAGCAGCAGCGGTAGCATTGTGGTGCTGGTAGCATGCGCATATATATGCAATTGCAAAGTTGCACCCCATTTACAGTTGCATTTTCTGCAGGGGCTGTGTAAAACTATGCCTAAGGCGTGCGCCCATCCTATAAGCCCATCCTATAGAATGAGACCATGTAGCTTGCCCAGTAGGCATACAATAGTTCGGAGTTTATTTTTATAGACTAAATAGCTTTATGAACACATGTAAGCGGTTATATTTGGGCCACAGCGAACCTGGTCTGTATGTGGGCCGATTCAACAAACTGTATCAACGCTGACAGCCCTTTAAGCTGTGCTTCTATGACGGGACTCGTCAGGCTACAAAGGGTCGGGTCACAGAAGATGAACAAGACCGCCATTGTACTAACAGTTGTCCAACACGTTCAAATGATCGGTTCGCCGTGATGCTTTTATCCATGTGTCAAACCATGCTAGCTAGAAGCTGAGCTCACATCGTGAGCAGAGTAATTCTAGTAAATCCATACCTTGGCTTTTAGACATGGCGCCAACCAGAAAGTGACCAAATCCTCAATACATCG